GGGCATTCTGAATGGGGGTGAAAAATGATGCTTGGGGTGGGGTCCGGAAACGTCTTAGCTACTACAGTGGTTTGTGGCTCTCTAAAGGGCCACAGCACCTAAACATATACAGTAAATCCGTAGTTTTAACATTTCAAGGGGGAAGAAAGATTAGGAAAAACAGGTCTAAAAAGTTTCCTTAATGGGGTGTCAAAAGAGGCAGAGAAATACTGATGTGGATTAAGACTCACGCGGAGAGGTGCCTGCGCGTGCGCACACACGCCCCTGTCGTGCACTCAGGTGCTGGAACTCGTTCACTCACAGCTCACTGCCCCTACCCCCTCCCAGATGGCAGGATGCAGGTGTCTGATCAGCTGGGCATCCTTCTGCTCTTCACCTGGCCCAGGACCACTTCCACCCTATCTGCCCCAAACATGGGAGCCTCAGGGCAGCTGTTGCTGCAGAACCTCCACCAGAGGGGTTCTGAGGAGCGTGCTTCATTCTTTCTCTCTGTGTTTTCTTCCCAAACCCCTGGGGTCCCTGCCCATGGCCAAAGGAGTCCTAAGCAACACTGTCCCCCCTTCTAAATTAGTGGCAGTTCACAGCGACCCGCCGTGGCCCAGACCACAATGCCTTGCGCAGGCCCTGGGCGACCCTGCCCCTGGCTCTCAGCCCTGGTCCTTCGCTGTCTTCCTGGCCCCGGCCCTCTCGGCTGCAGTACTCACCTGATGCTCCTGCTTCTGCACCCTCTGCTCCGCAGGCCCGCTCGCAGTCCCCTGGCCTCCCAGGGTCTAGGCCCCCACTTGCCGGCCCCTCCCCTCCCCCTGGGTGCCAGGGGCCGCCTGCCTCCAGGGCCCAGCTCCTCCCTGCCCCCGGGGGAGGGGGGCACAAAGGGCCCTTGTCACCACCGCTCGAACTGGGCAGCCTGACGCCTGGGTTCCATGAGCTCCTTCCTGGAGGGGATGGGGGTGGCTGCCTCACTCATTCCCCCTCCATCACTGCGCACCCTGGTTCTGGGACCCTGGGAGGGTGCTCTGATATCTCTGGAAGTCTCAGACTGAGAGGCAGAAGGCATTGTCCTCAAGCTTCTAGGGAATTTTGGTGGTGATTTAGAGATAATCCCAGCCCCAGGAGGCCACAGAGGCCAGTGTGGCCAGGAGAGGAGGCAGGATGCCCACTCTGGGTCCCAGTAACCCCCACCCCCTCTAGAATTACTTCCCTGAATCATGTTTGGTGCCCACATCCTGCTCTATTCTCTTGTAGGCTCTTCTGGCCATCACAAACGACTTTGTATACTGACTGTCTCCTCCGTGAGAACATGACCTCCAGGAGGACAGGGCTTTGCCTGTTTACTCCCAGGCTACCCTGCCGGTAGAATGGCTCCTGGCAGTTAAGATGCATAAATGCAGTTTGGGTGCACGAATGTGTGCCTCAAATACCCTGTGGCACCTTCTGAACAGAGGCTTTTGCGTTTGTTCCTTCCTCCTGGAAAGCTCCTCCAACCCCATCCCACTCCCCACTCCGCCGCCCGCAGCGGCCTCATTTCAGCTCCCATCTTGGATGCCACATCCTCTGGAAGCCTGCCCAGCCCCTCTCACCAAGCCAAGCCCCTCGATTTCAATGCTACCCTGTCCTTCCATGGTCCTCAGCACGGTATTGCCCACCTGCACCCTCGGTGAGCTGCTTCCCCCCGCCCCCGGCACCTGAGCTCAGATTCCTGCCTGTCTGTCTATCTTGTTCACTTCTGTAGCTCCTAGGACATTGCCTGTGCACAGAAGGTGCTCAGCAAGGACTGTGCCAACTCTTGGAGCCAGGTGGGGATTGTCCATGAGCAGATATCACAGTGATCCTCCTGCTGCCCCAGCCCTTCGCACTGGTCATGACCTTTCCGTGGTGGTAGTGTGACTAAGTGTAGTAGTGATTTGACCATGAGCTGTCCAGTCACACTGGGGCATCCTCTGTCTTCCTTCGGGCCAGAGAAGTGGGAAAGGAGGGAGGGTCCTTTCTCCCAAGGGAGAACCCTGCCCTGGGCTGGGGAGTGGGGGCGGGGGTGAGGGGCGGGGAAATCCCGCAGCCTCAGGCGGGCATGAGGAGTCAGAGCGGGCTGGATGGAGGGGGAGGGGGAGGGGGAGTCCTACCCCCACCTCAGGCTTCATGATGTCAGACTCTGCCCGTGCCTTTCCCAGTCAGGGACAAAGGCCCATTGAGAATGGGGTGGGGCTTGAACGCCTAGGTCCCAGAGGAGAGAGGGGCCTGGTGCCTGGGCTTTGGGGAGGACGCAGAGATCCCAGGGGGACTCATATGTCACAGCCTTCAGCGTCAACACCAGCCCCCTCGGGGTTGGGTGCTTGTGCAGTTTGAGGGTCTGTCATCCCTCTGGGTGTGAACTGAAGCCAGTCCCTGGGGGCAGGATACACAGGAAAGTGTGTCCCATAGAGGGCGCTATCACCAAGCTCTGAATTCTCGCGTCTCCAGCCTTCAGAGGATGGAGGACTGCAGAGTCCCTGCCAGCCGGAGGGCGAGATGTCACTCAGATCCAGCTACCAGTGCCGCCCGATCACCTGATTCTTCCAGACAAGGCAGGTGCGTTAGTTTGCTAGGGTTACTGTGACAAGGTATCATAAACTCAGTGACTCAAAAAACAGTTTATTGTCTCAAGGTGCGGGAGGCTGGAAGTCTGAAGTCAAGAGGGCCACATTGCCCCTCTTTATAAGCACAGCGGTCCTATTGGATTAGGACCCACCCTAATGACCTCATCTTAACTTGATTATCTCTGTGCAGACTCTATTGCCAAATAAGATCACAGAATCTGAGGTCCAGGGGTTGACTTCGACATTTAAATTTTAGAGGACTCAGTTCAACCCATTACAGCAGTTCAGATTTTATGTGAAATATTTTGATCTTTAGGTATTAGTACAATTTTTCTCTAAAACACTGTGCAGACCAAGCAAAACTCATCTCAGGGCAGACTCAAGCCCTCAGGCCCACCTACTCCATGCTCTCTGGAGTGGGAGCTGGTGCTTGGTCCAACCAGGAGGCAATCTCTCGCCTCAGCCAGAGTTGGCAGCTTCACAGCAGGAGTCTTCAAAATGTGACCTGGGACCTTGTTAGAAATGCACCTTCTGGGCCCCACCCAGACCTGCTGCATCTGCATTTTACCAGGCCCTCGGGAAGATTCTGGTGCCCGCTAACTGCCTCACATCACTAGGACCACCTGGAGGACTGGCTAAGCTGAGAGAAAAGCACTGATGTCATTAAATGCAGTTAGCAATTTTGGTTCTCCCACCTCCTGGGCGCTGATCAGGGGTCTTCAAGGCCTCCCCCTCCCTCTCCCCTGTCAATATAAATCCCTTACATTGACGAAGCATTTGACAATTTCCAAAACCCCTTCAAGCCCCTCCCTCGCTCCTCCTCAGCCCAGGGAGCCGAGTGCTGTAAACGCTTCTCTCCTCTTACAGAGGAGGAGGTGGGGTTTCAGGGCAGGGAGAGGATGCCAGTGAGATCCCGCAGCAGAGAGGAGGCCAAGTTCCCCACCTCGCCTTCCTTACCCGTCCTTTGGTCTCCATTCAGGAAACCCTCTCCCAGAGGACCAGCCTCTCGTGGCTTCCAAGGCAGGAGCTGACGATGCACAGGGCTGAGCTGGCTCCCAGCTGGGTTATTTTGGCTCCCAGCATGTTGATTTTTTTTTTAAATCAGATTCCTTTCATCATCTGCCAAACTGATTATTTTAAAAATCAGGAAATTGCCGAGAAACATAAGGATTGCCACCTTCTCTTGAAAAGAAGCTCCAGCTATGTTTGGCCTGCCTTTGGGCATGGCACCCATGCCTGGCAGCCTCTTTCTGTGGGGTCCCAAGCCTCCCCCCTGCCTATCATTATGAAACATTGAGGCCAAGTGGCTTTATCATCATTCTAGTCCTGATGTGTTTTCTTGGGCTAAGGAGATAGTGAAATGTGTCTTGCATCTCTTTTTCTATCAAAGTGGGGAAATTAGGTCAATTGAGAGGGATACAATTTTTCTTTTTTTTAATTTTATTTATTGAAGTGTAGTTGATTTATAATGTCAGTTTCAGGTGTACAGCAAAGCGATTCAGTTATATATATATTTCAGATTCTTTCCCACTATAGCTTATTACAAGAAATTGAATATAGTTCCCTGTGCTATACATTAGGTCCTTGCTGTTTATCTATATTATATATAGTAGTGTGTTTCTATTAAACCCAAAGTCCTAATTTGAGGATACAGTTTTCAAGAGGAAAGGGAGGGAATTCAACCCCTTGTGGAGGGGAATAAACAGTTCCCATGTGCCTCCCATGCAATGTGTGTCCTTATTGAGAGAATACAAGTTTAGAGGCTCCTGTGGAACAAATTCATCACACCTCACTTGTTTACTGCACCTGTCTGGTCCCTGAAGGCCAGTGATTCTCAAACTTTTTGGTCTCAGGACCCCTTTATACTCTGAAAAATTATTGCAAACTCCAAAAACCTTTAGTTTTACTGAGTTATATCTATTGTTGCTTAATGTATTAGAGATTGAAAGTGGGAAATGTTTAAAGCACAGGATACACAAGCACACAATCCACTGGCCATGAGAGTGATGACAGCATCACATGTCCCGGGGCCTCTGGGAAGCTCCGCTGTACGCTCACGAGAGAACGAGAGTGAAAAAGAGGTAACGTCTTAGTAGTTTCCACCTTGTGGAGCCCTGGAGGAGTCCCCAGACCTTACTTTGGGAACTCTGGCTAGGCATTTGAATTTGTACCCTTGTTTTAAGATTTCAAGGAGGAAACTTTAACTTTCATTCCCTGCTGCGATGACCTAAATTCGAGGTGTTTTGAGGTGGGGGAAGAAGGGGAAGAAGAGAAAACAAATTCCCTCCACCAAGCCTCCAAGCTTCCTTGCAACCCCTTGCAACACACCAATCCCACACACCTCACCAAGCTCTGGCCCTCACAAGACAGGGGCCGCAGCGAGTCTCCGGCACGGGCTTTTGTCAAAGAGAAAAGAGAACACAGACTTCGGTTTGGAAAATAAAAGCGTGAACCAGCCATTTTATTCCAAGACCATTCACCGAGTGTTGGAGGGCAGCGGGAATAAATAAGGGGTTGGGGGACAGGGCGGCTCTATGTCTTGCAGCACATCCCACACTTTGATTTGTGACAGCAGCCGCAGCAGAACACGCAGATGGGGAAGTGGGTGTCTCGCCTCCTTAGCCTCTGGACCACGGGCTGTGGGCAGGAGGGGCGCATGAGCGAGGCCTGGGAGTAGGGAAGGCAAGGGGTGGGGGGGGGGCTCAGAAGAGGGTTTCACGTGTTCTCACCGTTAAGCCAGCTGCAACTCCAGCTGCGTCCTGGGTCTGGAGGTCTGCAAGCTGTCTTGTCTGTGAAAGCCAAAGAGGTACTGAGGATGGCAGGGCCCAGGTGGAGCCTCAGACTTGCTCCCACCAGCCAGCTTGTCCCCAGGTGGTTAGCATCCCCTGGCTCAGCTGCAATCCTTGGAGTGAACTTGCTTTCTGGCCTCTTCTCATCATCCTACAGGTGTGTCTCCTGCCTCCAATATCCCAGATCTGTCTCCTCCTCTCTCCACAGCTGTTAACTCTTCCAGAGCATTCTCCCTGGCCTGGATGCTTGCCCCTTGCCAGCATCTCATCCCTTACAATCCATTCCCCAACACATTATCAGTCAGTTCTCAGCTTTCCCCATTTCAAAAGCCTGCAGGTCTTCCCCTGCGTTTGGAGGAAAATCAGTGTTTGCACGGTAGCCCACAAGACCTGGCACGACCACGGCTTGGTCTCATCTCCAAGTACCATCTCCTTCACTCACCAAGCCCTCCGATCCTCAAGTCCACCACACCTGCCCCGACCTCCGTCTTGGCTTGCGGTCCCCTTCTCTTATCCTCCAAGTCATAGGTCAAGTAACATTTCCTCACAAAACAGCCCTTGATTCCATCTAAAGCAGTCCCCCCCTCCGCTAACTCATCATTACTCTACCACCATCTTTTAGTTATTCATGAAGAGCACTCACTAAACACAAGAGTTTACTTTTTTTAAGTTCACCGACTGATTCCCCGACCATGACGTAAGCTCCATGAGAATATCTCCTCTCATCTCCTTTGTTCACTGCTTGATCTCTACTGTCTAGAATAGGATCTAACACAGAGCGGGCACTCAGTAAATCACTGTGGAATTAGACTGGGGTCCCTTGGTTGCTGCCACTCAGTACCCCATCTCTGCCCTTGAAGCAGCTGCCCGTCCCCCTTGCCTTGCCCAGTCCTGAGCTTGGCCCTGTGCTGGGGTCTCCGGCTGCCCTCAGCAGTCCCCTCCCAGGGGCCTGGCTTTCCCTTCTGATTCCAGCTGCCCAGCCAGTCCCCGGCCCAGGGGGTTCTCACCTGGTGCGGGAGAACGGAGCCACTGGTCAGGCTGGCCAGGAGGAGCAGCAGGAGGCAGGCAGCCCGGATCTGCATGTTCAGTGCCATTTTGCCGTCTGTCTGGCTGCCCAGCTGTCAGGTGGATGACTGGCTCTGCCGTCTGGGGACCCAGTTACAGTTGCTTTTATGGGACCTCCTGGCGGGGCGGGGATGCTAAGCCCCCTCCCCTTTGGCCCCACTCATTTCCAAGAAGGTGGTGGCGCCGAAAAGGCGGGAGAGATAAGCGGGAACCGAGTAGCAGGGAACAGGGTTGTGTCACCAGCAGAGGTGTGTCCAGGAGGTGGGGCAGCCGCGGCCACAGACACATGCCTCTGGCCAGCCACCTGGGAAACACTTTCCCCAACATGACATCACCCTGTTGATCTCAGAAAAAAATTCCCTTTTGACCCAGGAGCTGAACTGGTCACTAAGCAGGAGCAAGGTGTCCTCCTCCCCTAACTTCCCAGAGGATGGCTGTCGCCTGCCAGGTCCCTGGGGGGTTCACTTCTGGGAAGGGACACTGTGACGGCCACGTGCAGGAGAGTGTGTCTGCAGGAGCCCCCAGCATGCATGTGGGGTTTTTCCAAGTGTCAGAACCTTAAGTTTTGGTCCTGGTGTCTGGGAAATGTTCTTGTGAACTTTTGGCCAAAAAGATGGCAGTGACAGTGACAGCTACCATCTGACAACTGCACCTTAGAGCCAAGCAGATGTAGTGACTCACTTCTGTGTTAACTCAGCCCGTGGGACCCTCCTCTGAGCAGCTCCCGCCTGCCCCAGTCCCGGCTCTGCTCTGTATTCAGGGGCCCTAGATGCCTTCTCAGCTGCTGACCCCTGGCTGCCCAGCTTCCCAGACCCTGCCCCTGAGACAGAAGCCCACTCTGCCCACCTGAGACTGATTCCCTTCACTTTACAGGAGAGGAACTAAAGGCAAAGACGAGGGCTCTGCCCAATCTTGCCCGGTCAGAGGCAGAGCTGGGCTTCCAGCCTGACCGGGGCCTGTGCCTTTCTCAACAGGCTCTCCTGCCTCCCTGAAAACATAGGAGGGCACAGGGGTCTGCTGGATCTGGCTCATACTGGCTCCACAAGTAGACTGTGCGTGTCTCACGCCAGCTTCAGTCAGGGGCACTATGCAGGTACCTGGAACCAGCAGCGAAGGGGGTACAGGAGTACTTACACTGCAGACATCAGCGAACACTACAAACCAGGCTTTTCTTCAGAGAGCCAGTCCCCTGCACTCCACTGGAAGGGGAACTAACTGTGGCAGCCTTACCCCTACCTATGACCAAACCACCTTAGGGTGCACATGGCCTGGAACGGCAAACCTTGACTCCAGAGACGAGCCCTTGGCCATTTTCCCTCTCCCACTCACTCCAGGGCCATCTGGTGTCAACCCTACCACCAGAGCCTGGGTACGGGGCTGCCAAGGGATGAACATTCTTCCCAGCCCTGAATTCCTGCCAGGGCCCGCTGGAGCAGCACAGAAACAGGGGGCCTCCAGAAAGTAACGCTGCTCCCTGCCACATGCCTCCCCATTTACTCCACCTTAGGGTCCCCCTGCTGCACACACCCTCACTCGCAAGACAGGCTCAGAGAACAGCCAGGAAAAGGAGAAAGGGCTCTGGGAGAGAAGGAAGGGACCAGCGGGGGGCATCTGGGGTGGGCGCAGCGGGCCGAGCCCAGCAAGGTGATCAGACTCGGCAGGCCTAGGTTCTTGGAGTGGCTGGAGTTGCACACAGGTTGAGGTTGAGTCTGGTGAGGGGCCGCACACTCACCCCCGGGGGCCAGAGCAGCATCCCCCAGCACCGCTAGGCATCACTGCATCTTGGCTCAGGCCAGGTTTCATCATCAGCCAGGGGCAGGGGTCACAGCACAGGCGCCAGAGCTACAGCGCAAGGCGACAGGCTGACGGGCCAAGCCTGGCTTCCTGGCCATCTGCCCTCCCTGGGGGTGGGGGGCTCAAGGCCAGGCCCCACCATTGGCTGGTGAGGAGGGGAGGGCGTCGGCCTGGAGGGGCAAGGCCAAGAGCCAGTCTTGTTTTTTTATGAACTGGTGACATGGGAGACCCCAGCCTCTCCTCCAAAAACATGGGACGTGTCCTTGACCCCAGCTCCCCCTGCCCCCACGCCATACATGCACACCTGGGGCCTCAAACAGGCTCCTCATTCCTTAATTTCACCATCCATATCATCAACAGATTGGGTAACAGGCAGTACAGGATGGCAGGGACTGGAACACCAACACAGCAGCTGAGGCCCTATCCTCAGGAGCTCTGCACCGGCCCCAGACCCCCTCCCCATACCCGAGATGGACAGATACACAGACAGACAAGGCGGGGCCACATGGGGCCAGTTTATTGCAGTTAAATACCTCTCTCTCTCTTATTTTTTTTTGTCCATTTCTCCATAAAGAAAATTAAAACACACTCACACACCCAAAGGGGAGCAGGGTTCCAGAAACAAGAGGTGGGGTGGGACATGGCCTCCCTGCTTAGGTCCAGGCCCCGGGGACCCCCATAGGCTCCCCTCCTTCCCGTAAGCACCCTGTCTCAGTACCTCTAGAGACCAAGGAGGCAGAGGCATATGGCAGGGCCTCTGTCCTCCTCCCTCTTGCCTCCGGGCGAGACCAGTAGAAGTGCCGGGGCTTCGTGGGGGCCGCCAGAAGGGAGACAGACAGACGGGGGAGGAGGGTCATCCTTTCCAAGTTGAGGAGAGCGGTGGGCGCTTATCCACAGAAATGCATGATTTCTCTCCGTTTTTTGTTAAAAATCTACTATAAAAAAACGCAGCTGGGGGAGGGGCGTCTGTCCCTCTCTGTGCTAAGGGCTGGGGAAGGGGACAGCGGAGGCCGGAGCCCCCGCCGCACGGTGGGGTGGGCGTCACTGCCGCGCGCTCTCGCCCACCATCTCCAGGTTGTGCTGCTGCAGCTGGGCGCGGAGCACGGCGTTCTCGTTCTTCAGCTCCTCGATCTGTGACATGACAGGGGACAAGCAGCCCGGGGCTGGCTCCCTGCGTCCTGGGGTTCCTGCCCCCCGACAGCCCGCGGCCTGGGCCTCACCTGCTGCCTCAGGAGCTCGTTGTCCATCTGCAGCCGCTCGGCCTCCTTAAAGGTCTCCTGCATGCGCTGGTTGGTCTGGCGCAGCTCCCGGATGTAGTCGCAGGCCT